ACTAGGAGTATTTCTACTCCCCCCTGGATAGGATGCTAGTCCATTGCAGCATTACCCCCAGCATTAAGCTCTAAGCATTATGTTTGCAGGTACCCATTTAATATAAACCTGGGTGTATAAATGCTCAAGATTACAATGATGTGCCTGACCAGGGGTCAAACCCGGACCACTCCATCCAGATAAAAGTGCACCAACACCTTCTTCTGAGTGGCTACTGATTCACCCTAAAAGATATATCAATAACAGACCAAGAACTAATTTCTCCTGACAAAATTTATATGGAAGTGTGGCAAAAGGAGTAGGGAGAATTTTACTGACCTTCAGTAAGAAGCATGACTATCATGTCAGCAGCAGATTGCACTTTTTCCCTCAAACTCTCATCATCAGTCACATTTTTAGCAGAAGACACAATGTTTGCCAGATGTTCAGCATATCCCTGTTGTACTAGTGCTTTCTTCACATTGTCTGAAAATAAAGTAAGAATAAAAGCATTGAAGAGAGTCCAGAAAAGAGTTTCACAATTTTCTTGCTGCCACAGCACCAGACTCTTTCCCATCCGATCACTTCGATCACAGATTTGCTCTTTCACCACTTGTGCATCAGGCCCAAAGGTGAGCCTTCTCGCAGGCTAGAGTACATAAGTGATAAAACACAGATTTTTCACAGCATTTGTGAAATTTAAATTAACATTTAATTTATTAATTAAAAACAACTTACCATCTACAACAAGAGACGAGAAAATTTCAAAAACCAAATCAACAAATTCTTTATCATCTGATTCTTGCAAGACTTTCATCAAAATGGTCACACCATCACTCTCACTAAAACTTGCTTTTCCCTTCTCTGCAAATGGCACATTAAATAATCACAAAACATCCAAAATTAGCAAAACTTGAGAATCTTTAGATAGATTACGAATAGTCCCTCTTTCAATTAGAATGTCAGACAAGACCATAATTAAACCATGAGGAAATAATGGCCTCGTGAAATCCATAAGGGCGAGAAGCGTGCGAAAGGAGGGACTACCCCAGGATTTCGCACTGCCATTTTTTTCTTACGGTTTTCTTTCATGTCACGCATGACAGACTAAGTGAAAGAGGGACTATTAGTAGACTAATCTTTAGACAAGTGTGACACTCTCTTTCCCATCAATTTTAACCTGATACAGAGATGACCGATATCTAAAGCATAAACTTGCCTGATGAGATGAGGACAGATACAGCTGATAAAGCCATTCGGCAGAGAGCAGTGTTGCTATGGAGACTTTGCTTGACAAAGCCCAACAAAAATGACACCGCCCCAAACGAAACTGCTTCTTCAGTTAGAGCCTCTGCGATGAAAAGAAACGAACTAGCTGGCGTGATGGGCAAAATAATTACTACCAACAATCACCAATGCAACAAAAAAGTCTCTTTAAAATAATTGGCACAAAAACTAGTTCTACTTGTTTGGGAAAGAGAACCAGTTTTAAAATGGTGACATTTTATATCTGAGAACTGATGGAACAGGTGGTTGAATCTTATACCAGAGGATGCTTAAAGCAACATGAAGTATCTTCTCATTTGTGTTACCTATACTAGATTAGCTTTTTTGGAGTATTTGCTATCAAGACTGGATGACAAAAAAATTTTGGAAACTCCACAAGAGCTTAGATGTGCCAAAAATGATTAAAACTGACTGCACAGGGGCCCATTACTCTAAGGCCCTGACAAGTTTCGCACCCAGAAAACCATAGCAAAACCTCAAACCTTACGATTACAGACTGAGCTGTTTTATTCACATATTCTTCACATAAACAGAGGTTCCCTTTGTACAAGAAGTTTCAGGCCCATACATGTACATACACTTCCACGTTTTTAGATACAGATGAACTAAAAATGGCTTTGTGGACCCAAAAAGTTTCCAGGCCTTTCAAGAAACAGGCTCGAGGACCTCTGTTCTCCAATCTCTGCAAGAGTATTTAAATGGGTACGAGCATGTGACAGATGGAAGGAGAGAGAGACAAAAGATTCATTCACTTGAACCTTTTATTTCTTTTACGTGCCATTACGATCTGCTTCTTATGATTTCAGTCCATCATCAAGAAGAAAACTAGCAAAATTAAATCATCAATTGAAATAACAAGGTATTTTAGATGCACCGGTATATTCTCACAAACAACATTGAAATAAATGTATGAAAATGAGTAGGGAGAATTAAAATTGTGAACTTTCAACAGTGACTATTATACCGTCATCACTTGCAACATTCAGCATGGAACCACATGCAGCCAACTCCAGTTTGTTGTCACTATTTTCGTTAAAACTTTTTTCAAGAACTTCTAGCTTCTTCACAATTTTCTCAGCTCCTTGGTTTTCCAGCAAAGTNAAATAATTGGAACGAAAACTAGTTCTACTTGTTTGGGAAAAAGAACCAGTTTTAAAATGGTGACATTTTATATCTGAGAACTGATGGAGCAGGTGGTTCTTATACCAGAGGATGCTTAAAGCAACATGAAGTATCTTCTCATTTGTGTTACGTATACTAGATTAGCTCTTTTGGAGTATTTGCCATCAAGACTGGATGACAAAAAAAAAAATTGGAAACTCCACAAGAGCTTAGATGTGCCAAAAATGATTAAAATTGACTGCACAGGGGCCGATTTCTCTAAGGCCCTGACAAGGTTTGCACCCAGAAAACCATAGCAAAATCTCAAACCTTATGATTACAGACTGAACTGTTTTATTCACATATTCTTCACATAAACAGAGGTTCCCTTCATACAAGAAGTTTCAGGCCCATACATGTACATACACTTCCACAGTTTTAGATACAGATGAACTAAAAATGGCTTTATGGGCCCAAAATGTTTCCAGGGCTTTCAAGAAACGGGCTCAAGGACCTCTTTTCTCTAATCTCCGCAAGAGTATTTAAATGGGTACGAGCATGTGACAGATGGAAAGGCAGAGAGACAAAAGATTCATTCAGTTGAACCTTTTATTTCTAAGTGCCATTACGATCTGCTTCTTGTGATTTCAGTACATCATCAAGAAGAAAACTAGCAAAATTAAATCATCAATTGAAATAACAAGGTATTTCAGTGATGCAACAGTATATTCTCACAAACAACATTGGAATAAATATATGAAAATGAGTAGGGAGAATTAAAATTGTGAACTTTCAACAGTGACTATTATACCATCATCACTTGCAACATTCAGCATGGAACCACATGCAGCCAACTCCAGTTTGTTGTCACTATTTTCATTAAAACTTTTTTCAAGAACTTCTAGCTTCTTCACAATTTTCTCAGCTCCTTGGTTTTCCAGCAAAGTAGACTTTGCAAGTTCTGGAAAAAACAAAAGTTGAAGTATTAAGCTGGTAACTATTTATTATGGATATTCCCATGGTAAGGTTTACATTGAAATTGACATCATTATTTTTACATTATTACGGCTTTATTGTTATACCTCCCAACTCAAATACGTTTTCAGATTGGAGGAGAACCTGTCACGTGTCATGGGTCAAAACTCACTAACTCTGCAGAGTGAACAAACTCACTAACTCCCTAGAGAAACAACAACTTGAACTTTCAACTTGCATATGATCAGGGCATGCACCTTGAAACCGCTGCAATTTTTGTGCCAGCCTGCATCAACAAATGAAATGATGTTTTCACATTTTGTTGTATTTTTGAGTTGGGAGGTACATCAAAATTAATGACTGGCCCCACAGGAAACGGTAAGTTTTGCTTCCCCTTGACTCTCAATGTTCCCCTCAGCTTTACCTTGGGGGACATTGAGTGTCTTGGAGAAACAAAACTCACTGTTTCCCTTGGGGCCAGTCATTAAGCGCTTATTGTCTACCTACCATTATCAAAACTGATATTTCCAATAGCTCTCAGAGCCTGTAGAACAACGTTCGGGTCATCACTTTCAAGATTAGATAAGATGGCTGATATAAGTCCAGCCTTCACACAGGGAACTCTTGTCTCCTCTAAAAATAACGATTGAGACATATTTTACTCCTTTGATCAACTGTGTACTTTTACTTATAAATAAGTCAAAGTGCATTTACGCCTAACCTAGCACCTCCATCGATCTGTCCCCCTGTTAATGGGAGGCACATGCTGGGTCCAACCCCTAATCCTTTTGTATACCATTTTGACAGAAGAAGTACCCCTTTTGCACACCTTTTACTGAAAAAAGGTAACCTTTCACATTCCTAACACTGCATCCCTTTTCTAAACCCTTAGAATGAAGTCAATGAACAAAATTACCAGAGAACACTGATCAAGCATAACCAGAAGAGATGTTAACCAGAAAAACAAGTATTTTATATTCAGTTCACGTTCACCTTGGACTTACACAGAATTCCCTACCCATTCATATACCTCAACATGTGAAATCCCTACCCCTTTATTTACCTGGTCTGAAAACAGTTCCCCTTTCAGGAGGAGCCTTCCTATATAGGTCATTATAGGGAGGTCCCCACACCTGGGGGAGGCACAAAAAAACCATCCTCCTGGACATGATTTTGAAATAACTCTCCTTCCCTTTAGTACCTTATTAATCATATCAATAACAAAATACTACATCATGTTTGGTTCTCCACACACCTATCTGAGTGCAATCACATGGGTATCCAATCACTGGTATCCAATTACAACATTTTGTAATTGGATACCTTTCCCCATTTGCATGTCAATTACCTGTACTTTAATGGTTTCCTTCTTAATGTTTCCTTTAGGTTTCAAAACTTATAGAAAGTTCTACTCACTTTTTCGCTCAAAAGAAGTTTTCAAACACTTAGGGTTTAATTAATCTAGACATTTGTTATTGACACATCTGATACATTTTGTTATACATTTTGTCAATGTTTAGTTTGTAATTGGACCTTGTGTCATTCAAGTCAGGGAGAAATCATGCTCCTTTTCAAATCAGCTTTGCGCTGTGCACTCGTCTGATTTTGCAATTGTTTGCCCAATTACTCCCAGAATTGTACTCCACTCGGTCCAGTTACTTTTACCAGGGTCACATACTTATCTACCTTACCAATACATAGAATATTCCTCCATTACCTGATTTTGCAATCTCGGCAATTAGCATCAACACCTTTGCTTTGCTTTCTGGCACATCTATTTCCAACAACGCTACAACAGCCTCGAGAATGCTTTTAATTGTTGCTTCATCAAACTGCTCTGAAAGCAAATTTAAAAGAAGAACTCTTACAACAAACACAGCACCCACCCCACCCTACAAAGACATGAAAGATTTGTCTCAAATTTACACTTTACAAAACGTTCTAATTCAGTCTCAAAAATGTGATTTAATTCTAAAGGGATACTTGATAGCAGAAATTTGGCTGGAAATTTCCTCACCATTGTTTTCTTGAAGAGCGTTGATAATGGCTTCAACCGCTCCCACGTCAAGGCCTTTCGTCTCTTCAGCATTGATTTTGAGCTTCTCGAATAGTTCACTCACACGATTCATTATTTGGACTATTTGGTCTATCTTTCTTCTACACAATTCTTAAACATCACTGCTTGAATATGAGCTAACTACAGTGCTAGCTCACCCCAAAACGGATGGAAGCATGGCAACACTTTGCCAGAAGGTTCCTCTAGGCAATGACAGTGGAGACTGTGACAGATGAACGGGAACGTGACGGGCAACGTGACGAACGTGACGGTTTTTAGAAACCACTTGAGCCCGCAGTCAGGTAATCATGAGAGCTGCTTCATATAAAATTGAATATACTGTCCGATCGATTTCGCCGCAAAAACGCTGCGCATGAATTTTCTCGGAACGTGAAATAATGTGGCTTGTACATCGGTAAACAGCGTAATATGATTAATTAATTAATCAAAAGGTAACTGTGTTTGAGCTACTTAATTTCCGTCATCCCGTCGTTTCGGGAAAATTAAACACGGGAAGCAAAATGACTGGTGTAAAGATCAGAGGTATTTCATACAAGACTACGCTCGTTTTGTATGCTACGCGGCGGGGGGAGAGGGTTTTTGAGAAGGGATCGCAAAATTTACTGGCAGGAAAAGGTGTGGAAAAAGTAAGGACATGCGGACTGAGGATTCGGTAGCCATGTTAGAATCAATCTCGCCACCCAGAGCCTTCGTTACCCTTGTCCAGGGCAACGGGAAAACTGAACAAGGGTACCGAAGGCTCTGGGAACGAGATTGTGTTGGAATCAATCTCGTTCCCAGAGCCTGCGTTATCCTTGTCCAGCGTTTTGCGGGTTTTTTTGTTTTTTTTTTGTTTTTTTTTTTTCACGTTTTTTTAGCTGACCTAGAAATGCCTTAGCTCAGATTAAAAAAATTATTTTTTTATTCCTAATAACAAGTTGTATAAATAATGGCAACAGGACTAAGGGTGAAGCTCAATTAAAAACAGACGAATGATTACCTTAACACCAGACGAACAAAGGACGTCTGCCAGGACGGTTTTAATGACAACTCAGATATATATTCACTTGACTGTCAAAAGTAATTCGCATTTCAGTGGCTTGGTTCAATAGGCCAAGTTCCGTATATCAATATTCTAGCATGGCTCCAAGGCTTTCAGGACAAACTTCTATATTTGGTGTTGTTTTCTTTGTATCTAAGTCTCTTTTGGGAATTGAGAGACAAAAGAAACATAAAAAAATTTACAATTTTGACCCGAAAGCCTCTGAGCCATGTTAGAATATTGATATACCGAACGTGGCCTATTCAGCGTTTTTTTTAAAAAAAAAAAGACTTGCGCCACTTAGGCTCGATTTAGCGTGGGCTCCTTTCCCGAACAGCGGCTGGTAATCGAGCCTAGCGCCACTTCGTCATCCAATCAGAAGCCAATCATGACTCGCTTCCACACTTTTTCACATGCGTTTTGTCGGCTACATTGATTTACTTTGAGTTTTGATTGGTTCACTGGTTGTCTGTGTAACTTGTGATTGGCCAGAATGATTACTGGCTTTTGGGATTGTACGTTTGCTTCATACAAAGACGCCCATAAATTAATCTAGTCAATATGCAACCAAGGTCACTTGCTACTGTCTTTCCTTCGTTCCTTCTAAAGTCGAGAGAGGAAAAAAACACAGGAAGACGTAAGTTGACGTCACAGAGACGTAAATTGCACCCGAAAGGTCACTGTTAAATGTCGGGGTGTCAGTTAAAGAAACAACTTCCCATCTGAATTTTTTTTTTTGAGAAATAATCTGAAGGGAGGGTGTATTTCAGCCAATATATAAATAATTTGATACCGAAAAAGTACGAAAATATTGTAACAGTGATATGAGCTGATACTAGACAGAGGACAGTGGTCAGAGCAACAAGGTGTCCGTTTTCTCGACGCGACATTATAAAGAATTCTGGAAAACATCCTGAAGTCAAATTCAACTGATTCAAAATTCTTTCATTTCGCATTGACCAGGTGAGTCGTAAACAAACCTAACAATACAAAGCGACAACGAGCAAATACTGTATCCCGTCTATCAAGTCCGACTTTCCACGCTATCAAGTGAAAATAACAAGTGTGAGTTTTTTTCTAGGTGGGCTTTGCGATGCTGCATAGAATTACTTTTAACAAAATAAAATAGAAATATTCCTTTAGGATAAGCGCGTAACCTTGTTGATCCGATAAAAATAGGCTTTGGCAGAAATTGGAAAGTGTACGAACAAAACGAATTCCGGTAGTCGGCAAAGCGTGCTCAATGTAATCAACTTCAGCTCAAAAGCGCAAAAGCAGCATTACGGTATAAGGAAAATATTTAGATTAGGTTAGTAACTTAGTTCACATAGCTTTATACATTATGCACTGTCATTACTTGCTCTCAGAGGAAGACGTTTGAACCAGAAGCGGAAAAACCTGCGCTAATTAGCACAAAATCTCGGGATTGTTGCTGCCTACAATTTCCGGTACCCATTATGCTTTCTCTCCCACTCATCAACGATCTGTGAGAAATTAAATAAAGGAAATTAAGCACTTACCTTTTTAATATTCTTATGAAAGCAACATCTTTGAAAGCAATGGTGTTTTGGGTTGTTGTTATTTGTAAAACTTAGCGGAAGAAGTTCTATGGGTTTATGACCGGAGGCAACTTTGAAGGCCCTCACTCGTCAACTTGGAAAGGATTATTTGACCACAATGCACCCCTGTGTACGTCTGCGCGGCACACCCCTCTAGAAGAACTTCCCTTCAAGATTCCCCTTATAGAGTGTGTAGAAAGAAGGAAGCACTAACCGCTTGTTTTCAGTTTTATAACACAACTCGATTGACTTCTTAGTCAAAAAAACACAATCAAATCCAATCGAATTGATTATGGCAGAGACGTCAACCCGTGAAGCCTCCAGATCTTCAAAGTGTGCCGAAAAGCTTTTCGTATCAGTCTTGGCTGGATTGGCTTTTTTCTGCATTGCAGCTAGTGCAGTTGGCCTGGTCATTATTATCACTTTTCTTTGTCGTGGCTGTAGCTCAGTGACTAATTCATCTGTAGTCGATATATACTGGGGAACTACTGTTTTGTTGTTTCTTCTTGGAGTGATGACACTGGCATTGTTAGTTCACTACAAAAGACTCCAACACAGCACAACTTCTCATGTTGCTATCTCTTCGATCCCTGCTGAGGATTTGGAAAGAGCGCCCGCTCCCATACTACACTATAGCGCCAGCCAACTTGGCCAAGCCTCATCCACGCATCCGACATCGCTGAACTTGCCCGATTATTTTTCTGTTGTTCAAAATATTGATGAAGATAATCCATCTGTGAGCGCGGAAGACTCGTCAGGGGATGTTCCTGAAACTCCGCCACCGCGTTACGAAGAAGCGATTGAAATATTAGCGCGGTTAACCGGTGCTGCAAACGAAGTGAATACCTATTCTTCTGAACAGTATGCTTTTATTCAAGAAACGATGGACAAATCTGACGAGCTATTCGTCTAACTCGATTTACTTGTCCCATACAGGTTACCTTCTGCAGCGGCATGCAAGTAATCAAGACGGGTACACGAGCTTCTAAACAAGGAAAAGACAAAGACCATGGCTATACAGTGTCCATAACCTATATATTTTCATAACTTTACAATATGCAAGACAATATAAAGCATTGAACTCATATTTCACAAGAGTCAAGCGATTTCAGTAACAATTAAGTTGAGTGTCTCAACTTGTTGCAATTTCAACTTGAAAGAAATCGAATTTTGATGATAAAACTGATTAGGAATTATTCATACTTTATTTGTTTGTTTGTTTGTTTGTTTGTTTAATTTATGTTGCTATAACTTCTATTTTGATTCGTTGTTTCTAATTAGAAGACGTATTGGCTATTTCTATTATAACTGTTTTTGTTATTGCAATTGTAGCCTAGTACTGCTTACATATTTGGGATGTTGTATGATCAATCTGTTTGTCTATCACTTTTTAACACGTACGTGTACAGCAAACAATTTTGAAAGAATTTCCGAATCTGATTTTATCTCAGAGTTCTTCTTTCGTCTTCATAGCAATACAGTAATTTTATTACAAATAGTCAGTAAAATACTCGTCAGTAGAAGATAGAGATGGTGGTGGAATCTCAACTTTCAGCCAGAATTTCAGCCAATTTCCGAGCTATCAGTAAATTTTGAAGATCTCAGATCTCTGCTATGAGACATAAATAACGAGTAATTTCTCAGTTGATAGCTAAAATTTCGACCAATTCTCGGTCACCATTGAAAGACCATCTAGACCTTCTTATTAAGGTAGCGTGACAGTCATCTCCATACCACCGGCTGACGGAAAGGCCAAATGGGTACCAAAGTGTCATTTTTCTATCAGTTCTGTTTTGTGCGTGCCATCTCGGCGGCAATAGTCTTCTTATGTCACAATTTTTGTGCAAAGTTTTCCCCACTTATTTACTTCTAAACTATTCCTTTCCCAATAACGGTCGAGTTCTTTTGATTCCTTTTAAGCGTCCTGTTCTTGATTTATCATCTAAACTGTCTTCGGTGCAATCAAAAAGCTAAACCTAAGACGTAAATATCGTCCTAAACTTGAAGCCTTACTCAGTTTTTTGAATTTTATTTTTTTTCATTTAGGTATCAGCGATCCATCATGCATAATATACAACATAAGAGAGGGCCTCCCAGTTGGGTAGTATATTCCTCTTGATCCCTTGAAATTTCACTTTTTCTCCCCCGCTTCCTAATTCCATTGTTCCCTAAAGTTTTCAGTCAAAGTTCCCTTTAAAAGTAGAGACACCTCTTGTTCCCTCAAATTAATCTCCCAAAATACCCCTTGCTGCCGTCGTGGTTTTCTCAAACTCCCTAGCGTCTCGGTTGCGAATGCCCTCAACTGAATCGTAGACGTGTGCGGAACTGAGGACTTAAATCTGGTCTGATTTCCGGGCCGTCAGAAAGTGATTGTTTTCATTTGCGCACGCGTCACTGAGGCCACGGGGGTCGCACGTAGTAACTGAGATAAATTTGAATATATAGCTTGCCTTAAAACATTCTAACCGTTATGAAGCGACACCACTAAATGTTTGTTTATTACAGGAGAGCGAGAAGCTCCTGTTGAAAATCTGCCACAATGAGCGAGAGAACGAAGCTTCATTTACTGCTCGCATTTTTCTGCATAACAGCAAGTGTGGCGCTCTTCATGTTTCGACAAGGTTTGCTGAACACAAACTTTTCCAACATACTGGTAGTGATTTTAGGGATTGTTGCTACAGTATTGTTTTTATTTGGAGTCTGTCTGATAATAATCTTCTTGAGAAGAAGACTTCACAGCCCAACTCAAGTTGTCATCTCTTCGATTCCAGACGAAGATTTGGACAAATCACCCGCTCCTATACTGCCTTATAGTCATGTCCCTCACCGTCTGCCGTTTGTCGTAAAAGCGTGTTCAACGGGTTTGCCAGATTATTTTACTGCTAATCAAAAGTTTGATGAAGCCACTTTCGATTCATCTTTGAACGCGGACGTTTGGACAGAGGATGTTCCTGGGACTCCACCACCGTGTTACGAAGAAGCGCTTGAAATGACATTAGGTTCTGCTGAAATGGAAGAAAACGTGTTTGCTTACTGAGAAGGAAAAAATTGAAGATACAACATTGTAATAACTAGAACTTAAAACTTCAGTTTATATTAAACACAAGGCTTCGTTGCATGAGTTTTCCTTTAGAGAGATCAGATATTGCACATAAGACAAACAGTCCATGTCAACTTCTTACAAAAATACAATGGAATCACGAAGCTGCATGATGTTTGATAATAATAATAATAATAATAATAATAATANGAAAACGCCATGTTGGTGCACCTCTGCGGTGCACCAATATGGCGGCCGGAAGATAGTGTAAACATCTGGAACTTACTTTGGCTATCTAGATCTATCTAGGCGACTGATTATCTGTACTGAACAAACAAACATTTACATAAGCACTTTTCCTCATGCTCTAACTTCTAAAAAAGCTAAAAATCATGAAAAGCTAAAAATCATGACTGATGAGATAAGTATATGTTTTTTGGTGCGATCGTCGCTTTGTGTCACGCACCGCCATAACTCTGAAATTCAAAATACGCTGTTTTCCAAACGAAGCACACTATTTAGCTGTAAAATTGTGAAAAGATATAAACTTACCCCCTCTTATGCCTGATGGGGCTAAAAACTTTGGTGGCTCTTTGGTTTTGGATTTTAGAAAATGATGACGTCACGTGAAAACGATCTACACTGTAGCGTAACCATATTGTGTCAGTGCGTCATGTCAAAGATCTGTCACATAAAAAATCTCCCGTGAACTATTACTACTATTGGGTTTGTTCGAGAGATCTCGTTTTCTCTTGGTTTGTTTCATTAATGTAACTGAGACATACTGCAGCAAATCGGTTGGTACATAAAACGTCAGAGAAATACGACCAAATTTCCAATAACATTTAACCACCAAAACGTTTTAGTTACATATGATATAGTTTCTTACACGCGTTACTTCTTGTATCCTGAGAGCAGGCTCTCGCACGCTGAGGCAATGGCAAAGGCGAAGCTGCGAGAAACGAGTCGCCGAACGAAGCGAGCCGAGGAAGCTTCGCTCGCCGACCGTCGTCTCTCGCTTTCTCGTGCCACAAAGCACGAGAGCCAGCGAAAAAAACCCACAGCCAAATAAGGAATCTTTCTG